AGATCAAGATCTATCGGCAGATGTTGTTTTTTTGTTTTTGAGAGTTAATTTTCGTCTTCATGTCAACAATGCAAGATAAAATTGTCGGTAAGATCGATCGAGATTCAATTGTATTGAAATTGCCGACCAATTTTTCGCACACGTATGGTATCCTCCATCGCTCAAACCATTTTTTAACATGTAAACCTATGGGGTAACCATGGAGACTGACCTATTTTTTTAATAACCATGGTTATTAAAAATATTGAAATGTTTTATGCATGGTTACCGGGAATTTTACAGGAACAGTTGAAGTTTATGAATGCAATTCGACCAATCAGATGGCTGGATTTCTTAAGTGAGGTATATAATTTGATTTAATTTTTAATCTGTTTCTATTTTGATTATTTGAATTTAAACGACTAAAATTTCTGTTCCTTAAATTCTATTATAAACGACTGATTTTAAAGACTAGTCAACGCACTCTTTCGGCCAAACCGGGGGGGGGGGGGGCTTTGGACGAATGGTCGCGTTCAAGTCAACGCGACGCGACGCTACCCTACCCATCCTTTCGGCGTAAGCCATGGCTACAAAACCTTTTGCATTTCCTAATATGCACTACTTTGGTAAACTTATATTTTCAGAGTTTCTCAAACTGACCTGACTTTCCTTTAAACAGATTATTGCCAATTTGCATGAACCAAAATAACTGTAAATTTCTCTATCTTGCCTCCATACACAAGCTTGATTATTCACATCTATCTGCATATAGCATAAATTCGTTTCAAAAACCTCAATATTGAATTTTCACTTTAAATGTATTGCATGACCTTCCACTGACTTTGACAGGCACCTAATTTGCATATTTCTGTTCACCTATGAACAACTATCTTATAAAAATGTCTTCATTCAATTAAACTGTTTGATGAATTAATTAAAGTTTTGGTAAATTTTGAAAATTGGCTGGATAGGGATTCTTTACAATTTTATTACGAGAACAATGTTTTAAAGCTAAATAAATATATTGACCTTGAGAGGGCGCTATTCAACATAAAGAGTTTATTATTTACAATTTCATCTCTCTAGACTCGATTTTAACCGCGACAACGATTACTGAATATTGTAGGATCGTATATGCTTCCAATATGTTCATTTGAACCAAATTCATAACCCCATACCAACATTTTGTATTACCTTTAAATATTTGACTTGCTCTAAAACTATGCAACCAAAAATTGTTTTAACCACAGGTTTTTCCCAGTAATAAGCTAAAGATTACACTTTATACAAAATAAACTATCTGGCATTAAAATAATGGTTCGCTTTTGTAGATCCACAGGGACTGAAGTCCCTCGAGCATAGCCTAGCAAAAACAATTGAATAACTTACATCTATAACATGCTGGGGGTCGAGGAGATTCGTAGTCTGAGATCAAAGACTCAGTTTTATTGCTTGCTCCATTGTCGTTTTATGGGTAGAATATAGATAGCTCTTTGTCAACTGTGAAATATTTTCATGCTCGCTAACATAGCTGACCCTCAATATCTCGAGATGTTCATCTACCTGGTAAAAGCTTTAATGATTTTCCTGACCGCTAACTCGCTAACCTGTAGTAGGTTTCTTCAATGTGTATGTTGTGTGTCAATATCAGGCGCGTAAGCAGGGGGGGGGGGGGGGGAGGGGTTAACCCCCTTTTTTATGTGTTTGTTTTGGAGGACCCCCCTCCCCCTTTTTGTGTGTGTGCTAAAGGGTGACAACAAAAAGTGACCTCCCCCCCCCCCCCCCCCCCCCCTACTGAACAAAATATCGGTTGGCATAATTTTCCAATTTCGGGGTCACAAAAAAACTCCAAAAATATGTGCTCTAGGTCAGTGAGAAACGGACTAAGAAGGAAGAGCAAGATGGTGAAGAAGAAGAAGAAGAAGAAGGAGGGGTGCATGAACAGGGGAATCAGACAAACTCCATGAGGGAGGGAAGGAGCTGACATGGTCAAAGAACAATTAATACAAAAGTACAAGAAGGGAGAAGGAAAGGCAAAAAGGGAAAGCTTATATTAATAACCTGACGAAAAGGGGAAAATGAGAGAAAAGAAGAAGACGGAAAAAGGACCGAATCAGTGACATATGAATAATGATCAATAACTATGCTATCTTAGGAAGTACGACATTAGATTTTACATAGAATATGTACACATTTGTAAGTTTGAGTGTGACAACTGAATCCATTCAGTTGAATGGTTGTTTCAATACATGTCGGTTAGTCTTAGGACAAGCGTTTGATTTGCAGGAGTTATTGTTAGTGGGAGATACAAAGCATTTTATTGAATCTGTGCATCAATGCTTTATATTGTTCTTCGAACTGGAATTTCGTAGCTCTACGACCGCCCTTTTCCTTCTGAGAGTTTGCACTCAATAGTACTCAAATGCAAAACCAGGATAGCTCCATCTTCAGCTCAGGACAGTGAAGTAGAGGTCGCAAAGTTAAGGGAAAGTCTAACCCAAAAATAAGTTTGTTTCGATAGAGGCAGAATAATAAGAAAATCAGGTGAGTGAAAGTTTGAGCAAATTCTGAATGAAAATAAGAAAGTTATGAATTATTGAAGTTGTGATCAATAAATAAAAATTGGCAACTCTGTGACGTATTATACGAGCTCTCCTTCATTTGCTTTGTGCATAATATTCCATAAAATCATGTTTTCTTCGTTATTGATGACGGAATATATATTTGTTCCTTGCAGGGGGAGTATAGAAACATATTTGCAATTATTATATTTAGGGTGCATGTATGGTTGAAATTTTTCTTGAGGGAAAATGAAAAATTTAGATTTTTTTAGTACTAAGCAAATGGAAGTTGAGCTCGCATTTTACGTCATAGAGTTGCCAATTTGTGTTTGATTGATCACAACTTAAAAAATCCTAACTTCCTTATTTTTAATCGGAATTTGCTCAAACTTTCACTGACTTGTTTCTCTCATTTTTCTACTCCTATTAAAACTAAGTTAATTTCAGGGTGGACTTTCCCTTTAGTAGATGCTCATACAATAAAATCTAAAATCAGTCAATTTCAAGACTTGCTGCTATCACTCCGAGGCGCGCCACCCACCCAGGCGCGCCTTGGAGTGATAGCAGCGGAGGCAAATTTCCCGAGAGCCAGTATAGAAAAAGCCAGTCCTCGAGTATTAAAGCAGTCGATATCCCTTTTATATGCCGAATTCAAACAAAAATCTACCAATAATTCTAACCTTATCCTTTAAGGACCAAAACAAATATATATATATATGTTTAGCTTCCTGCTTTTTTGAAAAATAGGAAGGAGGAGGCCCTTTTTTTTTCTTTTTTTTTTCTTTCAAAATGGCCGCTCAAAATGGCCGCTCGGTACATTTCCCCTGACAGCCGGGCTATTTTTCAAATTGGCCGCAGACAATTTTTATTTTTTTTATTTTTTTAAATAAGAAATAGATCCAGTTTAAAAGTGTTTTTCATGTTTTGTTTTTTTTGTTTTTTTTAATCCAAAAAAAAATCCAAAAAAATTGCTAACAAAATAGGAGGCGGCCCCCAAAAAGGAAGGGGGCGGGGACGCTAAACATGTATATTTTTTTGATGGCCTTATCGAGTAAAGATTGGTTAAAACATCACGGAATTTTGCCGGGATTTTACTCTTGGACTATTAAATGGTTTTGGCATTTTTCGTTTCTTTACGGGAATGGCTAAAATCACGACTGCAATTTCGAATAATCAGATGGCTGGATTTCCTAAGTGAGGTTTATAATGAACTATACTCACACCTTGTCTTCTCTGATACCAAACAATATCTTGTTCATCAAACTGGTCCCATTTTACTGATGATATCACATCCAAAAAAAGGTACATGTATTCCCGCCTTGAAATAGAATGATTGCTATCAATATTATGACGTCATTCAAAATACATCGTTTAACACGGCGTCGAATATATGAGCATAATTATTGGTACGTACGACGCTAAAAGAAGATTTAACATTTAAACAAATTTATTTCCTTCTCATTTATTAATTTATTTCCTTTAAACAAAAAGAAAACAGATGTGAAAAGTATTCATGAGATAAAGAAAAGACTTGCGACGGCAAAGGATATATTTAATAAGATGAAAGCAAGAGTAAAACCATCACTCATCAACACAATAAGAAAGATGCAAATGCAATTTGTGACATAATTATACAGATATGATTATCTAGAAAAAAAATATTAAGAAGCCTTAACCCTTAAATGGGCAACCAAAAATGTAATTAGCAATACCAGCTCTTTAAGAATACCAGAAAATAAGCAGAAATGGTGGGCCATGACAGCCGATGTCCTAAACACACCCGGCACTTGATGATGATGATGATGAGGGGGGAGGGGGTGAAAGTATTATCATCTTTCTTCTAGCTTGCAAGGAACATTGAATTCATAATGAATAAGTTCAAATTTTAATATTGAATCGATGTGATGGAGGGATGGAGGCAATAATGGTTCTATATAAATGCATGATACAATATTCCTTCTTCATATGGACAATGATGGACATATGAATTTCTAAATAACAGATTATAAATAAGTATTGTAAATATTTGATTTGATTTTGATTTGATTTATTTACCAACAACAATACATTTTCATACATTTTATACTATAATTACATTTACAGGAAGAGAAACTATTGGTTGGTAAAAAGGGGCCAGATAATAGCACAGTCGAGCCTAACCCCTTAAACAGCTAAACAAAGTATTTTGGTACAAATCAGTTTAGAGAATGGAACAGAACAAAAAATAATTAATTTACTTTTACAATCGATGCTTTAAAAAAAAACAAGAATCAGTACTCAATAATGTCTTACAATATACAAACTAATAATGTAAAATATGAATTATGAATTGTGTACACTTGATATTACATTGTCTATGAAAGTTTGGTGTAAGTTCAGTATAGCTCAAACCCTGTATCACGTGATGTGGTTGACAAGGTGGGGCGTCGGAAAACTAACAAATATTACGTTCAAATTATCTCATCTAAAAATTAATATCTCACCAATCACCAAAATTCATGTCCATAATTACAGTAGTATACGTATGGTGGAGCTGCAGTATAGGCCTAATAATTATATCAACATCAACATATCTAAATATGAATTGATATAAGGCTAGCTTTGAGCACTTTTAATCATCATGATCTGTCATATCTAGCAGGAATCTATTCGCCGGATAATTCTGAGTGTCTACAAATACATGGTGAACTATTTGGTAAACTATTATCTCCGCACCATTCTCCTGAGTATTTACGACATCTCAATAATGGCATACCGCAACAATTTTCCATACCTCGCCGCCCGTCACACGGTTGTGCATATGGTGTACAGGGCTGTAAAATAGTGAAACATTGAGATACAAATCAATGAGTGACAACCAATTTTGTTTGTAAGCAAGATATTAGACTTCATGCATAATCAAGGAGTATAAAGAGTGAGTTTATTGGAGAAAGTTAGGAACAACACCAACAACAAATTGATAATGTTTCAAAAAGGCATTTTTGCCCTAGTGATGTTGATCTCGTCTTATTCTCTGCAGTATAAGCAGTCATATGAGGTGTTTTTTTTTCATGGACAACAGGTACATATCAGATAAAAGAAGATTATGACCGAGAAAAAAAAAATTGAAAATGAGTTGATAATCAGAGGATGGCGAGGAAGAATAGAGGTCAGTATACTCACGTCCGGGTTAGGTGGTGGGCGAGGTCTGGCTTCCTGAGTACAAAATAAAAACATGAGAATGTTACAGTTTTACTTGTAAAATATGATTAAATTTCAAAATTACGCATTTTCATTACTTATTTTACATATACATGTATGTAAGGAGGAGGCGATGATGTTATCAAGACACATTTGACGAAACTTAGACTGTAACTATACAAGGGCTATTTAAAGAATGAATGAAGAAATGAAAGAAGGAATGAATGGATGAGTGAGGGGTGAATGGACGAATATCAAGGCCCGTTGCAATAATTATAACGCGTTTATATAAATCATTTATCACTTCTTATTTCATACGTTCTTATCTTTATTAGAAGACTTACATTACACTTATTTAAAACAAAACTACTGTATTAATGGAGAGGAGTGGAAATCCATTTTCAAAGGAGTCATATTAGGGATCACTTTCTTTGGAGCTGAATCAACTCAATAGAAGTGATCGAATAACTCTTTTGATTCACAAATTTTCGCGTGGATTTCAAACGACTCCAGTACATGTATACAATGCGTATAAAAAAAGTGAAAATGTGCTCTGAAATGATGCTATCACTATATCTGCATGATTTCTTTATTAGTACACGATTGCGAGTTTTTTTTTTCTTCTTCTAAATAAGCGAATGCTCACTCAATCGTTAAACATTGTCAATACTTTTAGTGCCATTCCATAATTTTGTAATTAAAAAAAATCATGCAGATATCCTATAATGATAATTTTGGAGGATATTTTCAAAGTGTGTATTTTTTCGGTACGTATACTGGATAGAGCACAACCATCTTATTGTGTATTTTACCTCGACATCGGTGGTATCTCCTGATGCACCCTGGTATGTAGCTAGTACACACAGCATGGCGAGCATCAAGTATGTAGTATACACTCTCTGTGTGATTGGTGCCATCTTATACGTCACGTGACCTATCCACCATTTGTAAGCAAAGCAGAACAGTAGAACTTGCAATGTTTCCCCTTTTATCAAAATCAAGTTCTGAACATGCCAGTAATATTCAATATTCTTTAAAAAATATATTTATTACCTACGGTTCACCCCGCCCCCCCCCCCCCCTCCCCCACTCCGTGGTCGGAGGGACCTCATGTGTGTTCCCAAAATCTCCGGTAAAGGGGTACCTTTTCGTGCAACAAAGTCTGGCCCGCCATTGACTTTCACACCGGAGATAGGGGGGTCCTTTCAAAAAGAGGGAACATGCGTACGCGTACCCTAAATAACACTGAGTGGGGGGCCGGGAGGGGGTGGGGCGGGTGTTCACCATTCGCAAATAAAATGTGTGCATGTACAATGCATAATTTCATTCTCACAGAAAACAAGCAGGAGATTGTAATGTCTCTGAAAAGCTATCATGGCAAGGAAAAAATTAAAAATTTGAATTAAATGAATGACCTTAAATGTGTTAAACCTTTGATTCTACACTGTAAAAAAGAATTTGTTCATTGGTAATTTTTACGTATTTTTTCCATGTAGAATTTACTTGCAAACATTAGTTTTGCCACTTACGCACTAATTTTAAGTCTTGCTAACTCAAACTTTCAATTTAGTAGAACATACGTGGAATATTTAAGTAAAATCAAATACATAAGAACTTTAAGTAATTTCAGCTTGTATTAATTTAGTAATTTTAACTCAAAATCAGAAATTATACGTATTACTCAAACAATTTATGTTGATTATTCTTATCTTTTTAAAGTAAGGACCGATGCAGTGCGTAATAGAAATATTTACATAATTTATGAATATTCATTAAGACCAAATTAAACTCTTTTTTAAATAAAACAAATCTTTTTTGTGGTTGAATGAAAATTTAAGGACTTTAAAACATTTACTAATTCATTTAACATGGCTAAGCAAATACAAGACAATTTTTAATTGTTACCCAGTTCAAAACAAATCAAAACTTGATATTTCAGGAAATTGTTAACCAATTTTCCTTTTAAGATGCTACGATCAAGTATATATAAAATTTGGAGCCTTTCAATATGTGTCGAATTGAAGCGTATGTAATAGTTTGCGATGGTGGTATATATACGGTTAAATCTTAAATAGAAGTAGTGTTAGTGATTAGTGGATGTTACTTGTTAGATTAGATGGGTACCAAATCGTGCAATATGTAATCCTATCATAGCTTTTTTTTTAATTATCTAAAATGATTACAATACTTAAATTATTTACGTTAATGTAACTCGATTTAACTGAGTAAAAATTATTCAGCAAAATAAGTAAATTCTACTTAAGATGCCGTAGGTAATATTTACTTAATAAAAATAAGGCAATTCTTTTCCTCCATTTAATTGAGTTATTTCGACTATTATTTTTTTACAGTGTATGTATTTAGATCACAATATTTTGTTAGATAAATTGAATTACTATGGAATAAGAGGTGTTGCTTACACATGGTTGAAACATTATTTGAATAATCGACACCAAATAGTTGTATATAAAAGTGTAAGTCAGTGTGAGTAAATGACACTAGCGTTCTTTTAATAGTGATACGAACTCGGGACCTCCTGATTACGAGATCACTGGGCCATCGCACCCCTCAGAGCTGCCAAAGCATAGCTCCTGATTTTATGTATACATAAAGCCCGTTATAATAATAATAATAATAACGTTTTATTTACCCAGGGTAGCCACTTCAGTTATAAAACTGCTCTCCCAGCGGGCCCTGCATAACATAACATGTTACTATTACCCTTCTCCAATCTAATATGCTGAGCGCCTAGCTAGAAGGCAGAAGGTCCCATTGTTATAAGTCTTTGGTATGACTCGGCCGGGGATCGAACCCACGACCTCCCGTTTATGAGGCGGACGCTCTAACCATTGAGCCACTATACCCGGTTGCAAAAGAGGCGAAGAAATGTCTGAAGAAATGCAGACCTATGCTCAACAACTGAATTTACACCAATTATTCCCAAATCCAGACTCTCAACTACCAAAAAAACGTTATACAGTGGCTGCTTCGAAAACGTAGAACAATATTTCCCTTTCCATCATAGATTTAAGCTATCTTGCCACTTTCAAAAGATCCATTAGAAAAGACTTCTTCTCTCAGTAATAAAGTATGATTTACCTATTTATGAGTTTTATGTTTCTCTTCACATTATATTACTTTGTATACAGTAGGCCTACGGTTACACCATGTGAGAGGAGGAGGACTGGGGAGTCCTGAAAAGGACTGTCGGTAATCTTTCTTCTTGAGTTGTGTGTAAGCCTATTATCTACATCACCATGCAAGCCGATACTTATATTAAGCAGCATCTAAGGTACTCTTTGTTTTAGCGCTACTAAATAGTCGATATCATTATAATAATAATAATAATAATAATAGCTAGTTTTTATATGGCGCTTTTCAGGACCGAAGGCCCTCTTAAAGCACTATACAGAAATATATATATTATTACCCCGGTCATCAGGTTCAGGCTTACCCGCACACAATGTATGCATATTCTCCACTCCATGGGGAGCATTCCAGCCAGACGTCATTTTTACAAGCGCACACTTGCTAATCTAAGCACATTAGCTTTCGCATCCTACCGGGTACCCATTTAACACCTGGGTGGAGAGTGGCAAATGTAGATCAATGTCTTGTCAAAGGACATTAGTGCCGCGGTGGGACTTGAACCGCGGACCTTGTGATCCACAGTCCGGTGACATATTCACTCGTCCACGACACCTATCAAAACAATAACAAACTGACATTTTCAGAAAGACGTATCATGTGCAACAGGCCTAGTAAATGTATAAAAGGGCTGTTGGACCTACCTGATTTCGATGCGGTGTTCGACTAGAATTTGGTGAGATGATGATATACTCTCTCGTAGCTTGATGTGACGAAGTGTCTCTATCCAGCTTTCTGTTGAAGTACTGTCTAGATAGTTTCTAGTTTTATAGAATATCGAAGCCTGCCATGACCATCTGCTCGTAACCGACAAGTCACCGCATTCATTTTATGAAATATAGTTTATACTTTTACTGCTGCTGCATTTGCGAGAGTGTGTAAAGATACTATAAGGACGACGCCTGGCCATGACCATATGCTCGTAACCGACAAGTCACCGCATTCATGTAAAATTGAAAATAGTGTTCAACAACACGCTGGTGGGTAAAACTTTCTAAAATTGTAATCAAAATGACAAACTTTGAATCATCGTCAATTGTTTGTATATTTACAACAGCTAGATTTCTTATTTTGTTATGGACTGAGTAGATGTTATTATTGATTTTAAATGGTTTTTATGAATTCTTTTTCTCAACAAACAATATCGAATACATTGCACAATTAGGATACAAAATAGTGCAAAATGATATTACATAAAACTCAATACAATTGTACTTATACATATACTCATCAATACAATATATGAAAGTAATAGCTTACAACAACTTTATTTTGATACATGTATTTGAGCACTGATTTCTTATTAAAATTCCTATAGAATTGACACAGAATACTTCTGTTATTGTGAGAGAAAAAATAGATCATACAATCATGCAGTCGTTAACAAATGAAAAGAACCTAAATCATAACTGAAATGACAATTAAAAAAAAATTTAAAAATGAGGCGAATGATATATGGTTCCCCTCCCTGTTCTAGCTTGTCTTACATACTCCCCTACTCTCAGCCCCCCCCCCCCCTCCCATTAAAAACATCATTACATATATCCACATACATACTTTAAATTGAACATAGTGTACAACAACATGCTGGTGGATAAAACTTTCCATTAAATAATTGGTATCTTAAATGTTCGTTTTGATTAATTACCTCCCTTTTATTTCTCCCTGTTTAATACTGATGAAATGTTCAATTTGACTTAATCAAAGCCCAATATTATATTCATATTTTCTTTATGCAAGAGAGAGAGAGAGAGAAAGAGAGAGAATATTAACTAACAATTCTCGTGTACAACCATGAATTGCACTCTTCTCAGTATGATTCAATTCGCTGCCAATATTCAGATTCTGAATATGGTTAATCCACTTAATACATCAACGCTGTTAACCGCATACATCGTTCCAACCATATACCATATGCCCATACAGCATATTGATCAAATATGGAAATTTTAGAAATGAAATTTGAATTAAAAAAAAAAAAATTCCATGTACTAAGAGGCTTTAGTGAAATCATAAACTCTGTGAATGGCTTAGCGCTAGTTTCTGAGGGACCAGTCACCGACGATCCATAAACTTACAGGTGCCTCGAACAGAGTGCATGATACATTTGATTTATATCCTTCATGAAGAAATGAAAAACTAAAACTGTAAACTATAAAGAAATACATCAAAAATCGTTTATCAATTCACACCTTTGCCTAAAAAGAAGAGTAAATGTGTTTTTGTATGATTGAACTAATGGATCAATGTAAAAGCATTGATTTTTCATCGCTATATAATTAAATATTTCACCTTTGAACATACCTGCTTCGTATCCATCACGAATGAACATTTAATTGGTATTTTAAATGTTCGTTTCGATTAATTACCTCCCTATTTATTTCGCCCCGTTTAATACTGATGAAATCTTCAATTTTTCTTAATCAAAGCCCAATATTATATTCATATTTTCTTTATGCAAGAGAGAGAGAGACAGACAGAAAGAGAGAGAGAGGGAATATATAAACTAACAATTCTCGTGTACAACCATGAATTGCATCCTTCTCAATATGATTCAATTCGTTGCCAATATTCAGATTCTGAATATGGTAAATCCACCTAATACATAAACGCTTTTAACCGCATACATCGTTCCAACCATATACCATATGCCCATACAGCATATTGATCAAATATGGAAATTTGAATTTAAAAAAAAAATCATGCACTAAGAGGCTTATGTAAATCATAAACTCTGTGGATGGCTTAGCACCAGTTTCTTAGGGACCAGT